AAATTTTCAGATATTTTTTTAGGTTCATTAAAAAAATTAAAAAGGTTAAAAAGTAAAAACCCTTCAAGAATGTCAAAACATTGCAAGCATAACAACCAAGATAAGGATACTGGTCTGATGAACAAAGTATATAATAAATGATAATTTCTCATCTAAAAAAATCTGGACAAAAATTAGTAAGACTATAGTTGTGAATTCTCAGTATTATTTTTAAATGCAAAAAAAAAAAAAAAAAATTTAGTGGAACTATAGGCAACGAGCAGTTCCTGAACATACATAATATTGAGAAAAAAACCAAAAGGCATCAATCTTAGATTGCATGCATGCATACAGACATTACATTACATTACATTACATTACATACATACATACATACATTCATTACATACATACATACATACATTCATTACATACATACATACATTACATTACATACATACATTACATTACATACATACATACATACATACATTACATACATTACATTAATTACATTACATTAATTACATTTATAAAGACAATATATTGTTTAAAATCAATTGTCAAGAAAAATATTTTGAACCATTACATCATTCCTGGAAAATATATTAAGTACTTTTGTGTTTAAGAAAACTTTGTACATTTCACAATTTTTTCAGTTGAGTTTCACTTGTTATGCAAGAATTTAACCACAAATTTCTTTGTTATTATCTGCAGCACAAATGAGAAAAATCTGCATTTCATTGTTATACTAGAAAGAAAAAATGGTTTTGGGAATTATTTACAATAGAAATTGGATGTCTTCATCAAAAATTAAATTTATAGTCCACCTACACATCCCCCTCCAATCACAAAAATGAGATATTTTATTTCTTAGATGTTACATAATTCTACAGCAAAATTTATATTTGCATTCAAGAGAAGATGTAACAATAAATCCTAAATAAGCAAAATAATTTTAGTAATGCTGAAGAATTTGATATTTTAAACATGTTTTGCAGGTCTTCACAGTAAAACATTGAATGCTGACACTACATATAAAACTGAGTGAGACTTAAAATTACTCATACTGAGTAAAAAAAAAAATTAGCTACTGAAAACTATTTACAAATGCCCAACTTTTATATCAACTGATTATATTTTGGCATTATTTTTATTGCTTAATAAAAATCAAGCTCTGTCAAATCCGACTTGTGGTTGATATTTAAAAAAAAAAAAAAAAAGAAAAAAGTCTTACAGTGACATTATTGAAGGCAGGGCTGGATTTAGATGAAGAGAGGCTTGAGGCTATTCCAAATGTGAGGTCCTTCCAATTCCCGCCATTCTCACAAATAGAGGAAAATGGAACTGTGTTAAATTAAACAATCTGAGCGAAGCCAAGTATGATGACGGGTGTTTAAAATTATTGAAGGTCTGCAATGCATTATGACAGCATGTGTAAGAAAGGCATATAACAGAATCAAAAATATTATACACCTTGGCTAGAGGCCACCTAAATTTTGTGGCTCTAGGCTTCAGCCTGCTAAGCCTATAAGGTAAATCCAGCACTGATTGCAGGAACATTTTAAAAAATGAATATAAGGAACATATCTGTCTTACAGAGAAGATATAAACTAGTGACCAGAAATAAATTCATATAAAACTGTTTTTTGGTCTTCATTAGTCATTATAGATTAGTACATCCATCTATGGCAGTGCCAGTAGTGAAGATGATGAGCATGTTATTAGTTTAATTACATTTACACCTCAATATTTACAATATTTCTTTTTTTTTTTTTTTTTTTTTCCTTTATTGATTACCTTTTCCACAAAATCCAATGTTCATACAGAATAATACATACTAAGTTCAGTTGTTTCTTCTGGTACAAACAGAAAAAGCAAAAGTGAACTAATATTGAAAATTTATATCTTGCCAAATTCAAAATGCTTTTGCTGTGTAACCGTTTATGCTGAAGATATTGACAGGTTTTTATCTTTTTTAATAGATCATTTATAATGGGACTAGATATTAAAGAACTGTCTGCCAAAATCAGCAGACATTGACAAGCATATTGATATAATGAAAATCATTTTGTCACACCCACTTTGCACAATCAATACTAAAATATGGAATATATTGATAGGTAAATATTTGTTGGATGAAACCAACTTTTGACACAATGCTAACCACTGTTTTATGAGCATGTGTCTGGATATGCTGATGTGTAAAACAGAAGAGTGCAGTTATCCTATCTGTTTTAATGTAAAAGATCAGAAATTACTGACTGAAACATTACTTTTTATTAAAAAAAAAAAAAAAAAGAAAAAAAAAAAAGGTCAATTAATCAATTGAAAATATATTAAAAATTGCTTCTATTTTTTTCTAAATGACTTTTCATGTTTCTATCCAATAAAGATCTATACATTGCTAGTTGAGAATTTTAATTTTTTTCTTCAATATTTAAAATCTTAAATAAAATTATTTAACAACAACTTGATTGTTTTTATGTGTTAACACAAAATATAAATGTAATGGAATTTGGTCCAACAGTTAAAATCCTTTGAATATGAAAATCATTATTTGATGCTGAATTAAAAGTATCAACTTACCAATTATTACTCAATTGTATTTTTTCTTCATGAAATAAGTCATGATAAAATAATTCCCATTCATTTTTCTTCCTTTAGTTTATAGTTTATATATATGAATAATAGTTTGTTATTTTTCTTTTAATAATATACATACCTTTCTTTTTCTTACCATGAATAGTGATGTAGCTACAAAACTCAAAGTTGAAAGATAAGTTTTTGAACTTTTATTTATCTATTTTATATTTACTTTACTTAGAAAAATCCATTCGCATTTAAACATACTAAACTCTAGTTTACTGGCCTCATGTTGTGTTAGGTGTTAATGATCTTGGTTATATATATATATATATATATATATATATATATGTATATGTATGTATGTGTGTGTGTGATAACAATATATAAATCTAGTGATTAAAGTACTTTCTACACTTTTTTTTTTCTTGATATAAATTTTTATATATCAAGAACAATTTTTAAGGAAAGCTGTATGACAAAGTGGAAAAAATTTTCATATGTCGTGTTTCACCCATTTGTACTTCATTGGATTAAGTTTATGTTTACGTTAATATGACTATACATTCACACGAACAAATGACAGTGGAAATTTTAAATTTAAAGATTTTTTTTAAATATCTGTTTTGGGTATAAAATCTATCCAATTTTATTGAGATTCTTTTTGTATATGTTTCCATCATTTTTGTTATTAAATATCTCACATTGTAAGAATAGAAGATCTGCCAAGAATGGTAAAATGTTGTAAGAACAAGGACGCAAACTTACTGTGGATGATCTAGTCATAAAGTACTTTTGTCTTTGCGAATTTTTTTTTATCTTTTAGTTAGAGTAAGATTTTTTATATTAAAATTGTGGTCAGTCTCATTATGGTGAGTAGCTAATGCATTGTTTGTAAAAGATCCCTTTTGTAGTCATATAATCTTTTATTTAAATTTCTTGAGGTTTCTCCAATGTATTCCTTGTGGCAATTATTACAGGTAATAAAGCAATTTTCTCCAAGTTTTAGCTTGGTTTGTATTAAGTCTTATTGTTTTAGATGCAGTTGTGACAAATTTTATGTTTAGTTTAGATAAATTCTTTTCAGCAGTAGATGGATAGAACAATATACATGCCACACAAAAACTTTTTTCAATTTGTCATACATATATATATATATATATATACACACACACTTCCATTTGAAATATAATTTTTTTTTCATTTCTAGAGATATCTATAGTATAAAAATGTGTGCATGTGTGGGTATTACTTAAGCAAGAATTAAATTTGAACTAAACTTTTAAAATTGTAATTATGACATGTGCGTGTATATAATGAAAAATGTATTTTTGCATTTATTTAAATTCTTTAACAGAGTTATGGAAAAAAGACAAGGGACATACTTTAGTATGGCCATTGAAAACAGGTATTAATATAAAAAGCAAAATATTAATTTAAAATTAGAGACCACATTTTCCATCATATAAAAAGTAGACTTAAATAAAAAGAAAAAATATTCAAATGTTACACTACATCCATTATGACTAGCTGTCTACTAAAGCTCAAAATGGACACTAATCAGGTATAGGTAAGGGATAATTGCAAATACTCTTGTCAAATGAGTGTTTTACTGGTCAACAAATATGGTAATTTAAATATTTGAGTTACATGGTTAATTTACAAATAATCACAAAAAAGAAAAAGATTAAAATATTTTTAAAACATTAAATTTAAAACCAAATTTTGGAGTAAATTCTTCAGCTTCTATTTATTTCTAGATTCAAAACCAAGTTTATGTGTGCAGATGAAGAAAATAAAAGATTGGATACTATGAAGTTAAACGTGAAATCCTTGAGAGCTTATATTTGTTATTTTTCATAAAAAAAAGAGAAACTGAATTTGATTCTGCTTGGGTGAATTAGTTTTACCTAGCACCTGCCCAACAATATAAATTTATGATAAATTAACATATGAACTAATAATGCTTGAAAATAAAATGTGCAAGGCACTTTATATCCAGATTGGTAAATAGTAACATATCACAAGTTAAAATATATCTAAAAAAAATAACTTTTATAAACTAATATCATTTAAGATGCTGTAATATTTTAAATATAAAAAAATTTTATGATTTTACTGGTAAAAAAATCAGTTGGTATTTAATATATATATATATATATATATATATATATATATATATATATATAAGCATGAATATTGTTAAAAGTAGAGAAATACAAAGTGAGAGACTGGGGGACAAGTCAACACCACACAGATAGGTGGTGTTGGACGAGTGCTGTTGACCAAGGGAAATAACTTCAGCAGCCATTTACATTCTGGTTGCTTAAAACTGATTTTATCGTCATTGTTGTTTTTAGAGAAGTTTACAGCATTGAGAAATATTTCTTATTTTCTTTGCAGTGTCATTCTGTTGTAGAAATAGAAAATAAAATCTACATTTGATTCATTCTCTCTGAAGTTGTCAATCTTTTTACTTGATGACTGAAAAGAGAAACAGAAAACATTGAATAATTATTCAAATGCTATTAGAAGTGAAAAAAAAAACAAAACATGTATTCAGGAATATTTAAATGAAATCATTCAGAATTACTGTTAACTAGGGAAATTATTCTCAATCTTTTCACAGAAAATGATATCAAGTTTACATTAACAACGCCTAAGGGAATGATGAGAAACACACAGCTTGACCAGCTTCCTAAAATCTGACCCAAACAAAATATTTTTTTTTTTATTTACACTATTTACATCATTTGGACTGTTGCCCTCATCTTTCTTGCTATATTCATGATGTTTCGACTGTTGTATGCTCCAGCCTTCTTCAGGTGATATATGTTAAAATTTCAAACTGAACCCTTTATTTAGTCCACAGGAGTAGATTGTTCTAAATCCTTTTCCCAAAATGCCCAGTGGATAAAATCATTGAAGTAATCCAAAAAGTGACCACAGAGTTGTGAGTTCAATACCTAACCACAACAAAGGGAACAAAAAACTTGGAGAGTTGAGTTACTGAAGGGAATTAACTGAAACTGAGATATCCAGAAAAGGCATGGCATGTGGAACTAGAACAATCTACCCCCTTAGACTAAATAAAAAGGTTTGGTTCGAAAGTCCACTGTATATCAGCTAAAGATGGCCGGTGTGTACAATGGTCGAAGCATCATGAATATGGCAATAAAAATGAGGACAATAGTCTGAATGATGTAAATAATGTAAATAGTTATAATGACATCTCATAGACAGAATTTTTTTAATACCTTCTTAATGTGGCAGAGAATTTTCCAGGACTGACTTGTAGTGTTGAAACCCAAGAAATCTATGCCAATTTTGGTGGCAAAATAACAATTTAAATTGCTTCAAATGTTTCTCTTCATATTAAATAAGAGAGAATCAAATGATCAAGGGTTCAATGATCATTATTTGATATTTTATTATTTATTCCTACTTTATTTCCATATTGACAATACAACTTTGATTAAAATCTACAGACAAGAAAAGTTTTCTTAATAATTTTGGTTACCTTTTCTTGTCTTCTTACACAAGAATAATTGTTTGACTTGAAATCAATTAGTTGGCATTTCCAGCTGCAACAGACTGTGAATTTACAGGACTTATTTCCTGCCATGTATGGTTGTGCTTTGTTGACATTGAAAAAGTTTTTTTGTGGTTTAATTTAAGGACATTTTGTTTTGCCTTATAGAAAAGAAGGTTGAAAAATATTTGGAGCATATTTGAATTGCTTTTTTGTCAGGCCATTACATCCAATGGACCCAAATTATATCATATTTGGGCCCATTAAAAATGCAAATGGTGTCTAAGCATTTATAAATCTCACACCTTTGACTTCAAGGCCATTATTAAGATTAGGAGGGGGGGGGGGAAGAAAAAAGAAACCTGTACATGTTATTTTTTTAAATTTTTAAATCTTACAAAATATAGTATTATAGAATTTGTACATTATAATGATGTAATTAACAATGATGGTTAATCTTGTCACTGATTGAAGAGACTACAGAAGGATGCTGACAATACCATGGATGGAACGTGTGAGTAAAAAAGTTTTTAGAGAAAATGGAAAAAAGACTACTTATTAGGAAGAGATAGATGAAATTTCTAGGGTACATAATGAGGAAAGAAGGCTTGGAGAATTTGATACTCACAAGACAGATTGAGTATAAGAAGGATAGAGGGAAACAATGTATAACCTACATAGCAAGATTGAATAAATGGAACAAGATTTAGGAGATAAGAAAAAGACAAAATTTATTAAATGCTACAAAGGACAGGAAATTGTAGAGAGTCATGACTGCCAACATTCTGAAGAGACATGGCACATAGAAGATTGATGGCCAGGATAAACAAATGTAATTGCTACATCAACAATTAATGTGATTGTATTTTTAGAATAAAATTATTTGTGGTTGGCCAATTTCTTCTTTATATCAACCAAGTGAGAATTGAATTGTTTTTACCTGATGTCCTCAGAATCTGCATAGTCTGCTGCTGGTGGGGGGAAGTTTAAAGGAGGAGGTGGAAGAGGAGGAGATGAAGAGATCCTGGCTTTATAAGTGGGAGAGGATGCAGAAGCTGAATTGAAATTGTTAGATGCAACATGAGAAGATGTACTGTATACAGCAACATTTGCTGTTGAATAGGCTGAAATGTTGTTATGATTATCTTCCGAAGTGACCATAGGCGGACCTGGAGGGATGTTAGATGAAAAGGTCATTGCAAGTTGAGTGGGAGGGACAAAGAAAGAGGCAGCTGAGGCATACATGGATCCTGCATTCTGTTGTATTGGGCTGTTTGGGTGTTCAGAAACCTAAAAATAAAAATACTTTATTCAAAACCTGAAAAAATTTGATTTGAGAATATTTTCTTGTAAATATAAAAATGAAAGATGAGAAAAACTTCCACCAAGTCTTTGCTTGAATAAAAATAAAAAAGACAAAAATATTTTCATTATGAATACTATGTTATATACCTGTATAAAAGTGGCTATGAATCATTGGTCATTTTCTGACTGACTGAAGTGAAATAATAATGAAAAAGGATTTAAGTCCAATCTCAATCTCATTTCCTAAGACAATACCTTTTCCACTGGAGGAAGCTAATTAGGACTATTCTTGGTTCCTGATTCCATGGAACCCTCACTGTAAACTGCCTTTTGCAATATTCTATTCGTGTGGATGAACAGATAAATCTTGCTAGTCTAAAGGGAGACTATTCAAACTAAAACAATGAGTGAATGCATGAAATATCCCCTGATTATCAAAAATTAGGCCAGGTCACAGTGAAATCGGCACTTCAGATACAGTCATTGAATGCTGCGCCCCCAAAATAGGACGGTAGATATTAGTGGATTAAATAATAATGTCTGAAAAAGATACTAAATTAAAAGTGTAATTTCACCAATTTCTTATATACAAAGAATGGGTATTCAGTGTCCTACTTAAATTTAACAATATTTTATTTGTGATCTAATTCTATTGGTTAAAAAAGATTCCAATACATTTCCTATGTAACAGCACTGTGATCAACAGAAATCTGCAGATATGGAAAACATATTAGGATTAATTGACCAATTAGGAATCAGAGAAATATCAAGGCTCTGTGATTTGCTTTTTTGCACAGATTTTTGTCAATCACAGTGCTGTTACATAAGAAATGTATTGGAATCTTTTTTAACCAATGGAATTAGATCACAAATAAAATATTGTTAAATTTAAGTAGGACACTAAAGGTGCATTCAACTTAAATGAGTGAATAATTTTTGTATAAAATAATGCTTGTAAAATATGTTCATTTGGTAAAAAATAATTTAGTATCTATTAAAAAAAAGAAAAAAAAAAAAAAAGAAGAGTTATCATTAATTTAGTGTTCGTTTATTTTTCGTTTTTAATATTGATTTTTTTTTTTTTTGGCTGTTATAAAATACTCCTACAAAAATCAGACTACTATTATTTTTTGGTGTTGAGGTGTTGACAACTATTGACAGCATGATGTTTGGGAAATTTAACTAATTTTTTTCTATGGGGGACATATCTGTAAAAATTAATTGAATATAATGTGAGTGTCATTTTTAATTAATTTTTTTAAACTACTTCAGTAATATTAAAAATTTACGAAAATATTCTAAATAATTTATTGGATTTTAGGTACTTTGGCTTTAAATTTACTATAGTTACTGCTCTTATTTTCTGGTAATATCATGTATGGACATATGTATTAACAAAAATCTGCATGCTTATACATAAAAAAATTGCTGAATTGTAGTAAGATTTTTCATTATGATTAGTAAATATAATTTTTATTTAACATAACTGGTAGAAATTAATACAGAATTTTAAAAGTTTATAAATTATAATTAAATTTTTTTTAAAAATTGTAAACATTTATTATTCATCAAAAAACTTTGGAAAGAGTAAATATGCAAACTATAAAATCTATAAATATGAAATTTAAAGAAAATTGTTAATTATGTTTTTCAGTTATAATATTCCAATTTAAAATGTGAATTTTAATTTAAAATTAGTCATTTTTCTTCATGATTAGCAAACATCTCATTTTGAAAAGTTTAAAATTTTTTTTAATGTATGTATATTTTTAATAAAGTTTCTTTTTATTTTAAGAATGTTAGTTAATATATCAATCACAATACTTTGTCAAGATTAGGACATAGAACATGGAAAAGAAAGTTGCAGTAAACTGTATTTTATTTTTTTAAAAAAAATTTATTTTCTTTCAAACAAAAATAGTTTCACAAATTTCTTATAAATGGTAAATATTGGTACAATTTTATTTTAATATTTATATAAAACAAACAATAAGTTTGCCTAAATTAATTCTAAACAAGTTTTGCAAAGAATGTTTGGTACCAAGAAAAACTTGGTATTTTATTAACAGAAGGGAATATTGTTTCCATTTTGAACATTTGTGATAAATTTGTTAATTTTTTTTTTTTTTTTATCATTTCACCCCATGTAAGACAAAGCCACTAAGATGCAAGGAGTCAATGAGTGTGAAAGAATAAGAAAAATATTAAGAAGCAAGAACAATAAAAAAAGAGGAATTAAGTAGACACATAGATAATAATTGACATTATATTTAAATTTTTGAAGATCAAATTTGGCTAGAAAGCAAGAAACCAGAAGAGAATTCCACAGGTGAGAAGTGTGAGAAAAACTGTTAGCATAGAACTTACAGTTACCTCAAGCCTATTGAATGGTAAATTGATGAGACCCTGTTGACAATCTTAGTACTGTGCATAAATTCATAAAGTTTAGAGTTCATCTAAAGAATTGCACTGAAAGTATTTATAGAAAAGGCTCAGGGAGTTATATTACAGCAGTAGGAAAGTGACTGAAGCTGAGATGCCAAGTCAGGACCAATAATATTGCTGATTCTTTGGATTTTATCAACAATTTTAAAATAAATATATAGCAGGAGCACTGAACCATATGTAGCAGCAATATTCAAAGTATGGAAAAATGGTAGACTTATAAATATTTAAGATATACTCTGGAGAGAAAACTTGTTTAGAACAACACTGTGAACCAACTTTCTTAGCAGCTGACCTAGCAATGAATTCAATATAATCTTTCCACTTCATGACAGCTGAGAATATTAGTCCAAGAAAGCACAAGAAGTCACTCTGATGGAGGCTAGCATCAGCCATACTGATTGATGGTAGACAGGAAGTGGTCTCTGAAATAATAAATTATGCTTCTTCAAGAATATTATTTACTAGCAGCTTGGCACGGTGTTGCCCATGCTTGATTCAAAAATCGTACAACTCATACAGCAATCGCAATCACTTGACTTAAAATATTTTTGCTTTTCCTCGTCTTTAAAGGAGTGCTCTTTGCCATGCTGATGTTGCTACATGCCTTACTTCTTGCCTATCTCACACTGCAAAGTTTTTCTAAGCTCTATACTAAACATTAAATCTGTTACGAAAAAAGAACTAAACAAAATGAACACAAAACGATCAGCTTTAAAAAACTGTAACTGGAAAAACCGAATGAAAAAAGAATGTTAACAACAAATACTTTTTCACACCCAACCCAGTTCTGCAGAATCAGAATCAACGTTGAGTTTAAGCAAGCGAATGAGCCAATTGGAGTAAAGTGCCATGTAAATTTAAATTTTTCCCACTTGTGACGAATGCAGCTATCGATTTTTTTGCATGCTAGTTAACATTTGTGTCAGTCAACTGTTGGCTCTCACACTGGTCAATAGAATCTTCCTGTCTATTCATGGCAGCCAGCTATTGGCTCTCACTCTGGCCAGTAGGAAATGGCTGCAAACTACATGAAAACTGCCGTAGAAGCATGAAAAATTTGATTATTTCCTCTATCGATAGGAGTTGTGAAATGCAGTCGATCTTGGCCTTCCCACTAACTTGGAGCATGTGCATGTAATTTTTGGTGCAAATCCATCGAAAATTGCGGCTGTGTATTTGTTACACACACACATCCTGCCTTTTATAGATAGAGATATGGAAAGAGATGGTACCTTTTTCAAATTATTGTTATCAACAGTTTTAAATTGTTTAATTTCTTGGCAATTTCTGACTGCACCCACACATATACTCTGGTCCTATCAAATGTATTTGCTTAATTTAAGTTGAAAATAACTAATCTGTTCAAAGATTTGCAATGAAACAAAAGAATCCATAAAATTAGAGGAAAAAGGTTAAGTGTTAAAAAAGTACAAATACCAATTTGTTTAACAGAAAGACTTTGTTAATGATGCAGAATTAAAAAAAGAAAAAAAAAAACCCCCAAACAATCCTATATTCCAACATTATGTAAATAAGCCATATTAGTCAATTATTATTGTTTAAACTTCAATCCACTTTCCCAGAAGTATTTAAAAAAGGATTCAAATGAAAAGATAAATTAAAAATTTAAAGAAAAGTAAATCTTGAATAATTTAGGGAGGAAAAAACTGCAAATTGATAGGAAAAGCTCAGTTTTTGTTGCAACTTAATTTAGTAATCAATAAAATCAAATATCTATTTTAATTAAAACAATAAAAGGAAATCACAATTGATATTTTAATCAAATCTTTCTTATTACTATAAACATTATATTTCTTGTAAACAGTGAAATAAATGTCTAATTTCAATTTCTAAGCTGGTAAACATTTATTTAAAAAAAAAAAAAAATTGAGACATGTACTCAAGCATGTGTATCCAGTAAATATATAATGTTTATAGTAATAATAAATTTCTATCCTTTCATATATATATATATATATATATATATATATATATATATATATAAAATAGATTAAGTCTGACAATTATTTAATTTATTTTCTGTTTATACGTTATTTTATGGATATAATTTATTTAAGTAAATGCTGTTTTTTTTTTTTTTAATTAAACAGTATTAATTACATTTATTGGCTTGAATGTTAGAGAAATTTCATAGAAAAACTGCACTCCTCTTACAGGAATTGAACCTGTAACCCTTTTATATATATATATATATATATATAGATGTATGGCTAGCCACTCATATCTGAGGATGCCTGTCTACTACAGCAGCTAACTAATCCTGCTGCAGACGTCTGCTCAGGCACATATTTGTTTGTTCAACACCCACAGAGGCCACCTGCAACTATGCTGAATGGACCTTAGTTAGTTTTTGAAAGTGAGGGCTTTATCTAGCATGATCAACAGTCTGAACAAGGCCAGCACACTCAATCCCTCAGTCATGGTGACTTGTGACTGTGCTAGTACAACTGTTGTTGGCTCCTTAAAAGGTTCCATCTACCCAATTTCCCTCACAAAGCTTGGATCAACACATGGTGTGGTTTTCAGGCACTTTCTCTTTCCTGACAAATTGACCCTGGTAAGATTTGAACCTGGATCTCATGTCAGAAAGCAAATATTCTAATCATTCATCCATGTGCCATTAGAAAAGCTTGGTGGGGAGGAAGAAACTAGTTAGTTGCTGATAACCTAACCATGAGGCAGATCGTACTGGGAGTATATAGTACCAGTAGCACTCATAGTGACCACACTATCTACATCGCCCTACCTCTCATATATATCTCAGACACACGCTGTTATTTTTATAAACCGTATATACTCAAGTATAGTGTGAGTTTTTATGATTGATTAGTTTGTTATGCAAAATATAAGTGGTTGCACTATACACAAGTAATTTTTTCTGGAGGGGTTAAAATTTGGGAAAAAAAATTCGGGAGTGACACTATACAAGAAATCAGTTTATACATGAGTATATACGGTATAAGTGAACACTGAGGACAATACAGAGTAGTGACAGTCTGTTTCATGTTTGAACACCAGGAATGATGATTGCATTCAAGCATGGAACAAACTGTTGACCTCAGTGTCCAATTTTATATTAACATATGTTCTATCCCTGATATTGTGCACTTTAATACATAAATACATTATATATGTGAGAGAGATAGTAATTATTTGATGATCAGATGATTGGTTGAAGAAAAAAAATTGTTTGTATATAGTATTTGCATGTGTAACTGCCAATGTTATTAGTCCCGATATAAAATAAAAAGAAATACTTACTTTAATTTTTTTAATGAAGAAGTCAGGAAAAAGATGAGAAAAATGAAAACATAAAATAATCAAGAAACCAAAATCCAACAGAGGTTTTTTTTTTTTTAAATTTTCCTGATTAAACGTAAATGTTTTTGAAAAGTGCAAAATAACAGTCATGTATTATTATACATCTTGTATATGTTTTCTTGTATTATAATCTGATTTTTATTCTGTTTTTGGCAGAACCAATATTTCTAGAAATTACTGTAAATATTAATCATACTTTTATCTCCTTTCAGTAAATCTGGGTACTCAATATATTCCCTCATTAATAAACACAAAATTGATTATTAAATTCTTGGTAGATACCCACTCTTTTGTGCCTAATACAAGGAGGTCATAATTAGGGGGTCAGAAGTGTTCTCGGTACCTAATAAATGAGAGGGTCTTAATGAAATGGGTGGGTCAGAAAATCAATTAAAAGTGTAAATAATTACAAAACTGATAAATGGAGTGGTTTAATTAAACTTGATTTGACCATAAAATTTCCTAAAAAAAATGCCCCCTCTTCTATTAGGCACTTAAATATAATCAGGAAAAATACCAGTTAAAATTTCAAGTTTGTTTTTATAAAAAAGAAAAAAAAATATTAATTGCAACCCAGGTGCAATACTTTCAATCATTATATACTTGAAACATTTAATTTACAAAATGGAGTTCATGCGTAACTCACTGCTTATGCTGATGCTTTTAGCATTTTTTAATTATTATTCCATGCCTATGTATGACCAAATAACAAAGAAAAGAAAACATCTTCTGTGCTTCATGTAATAAGAGAGAATATAATACAAGGAAATAGAACAGATTGGATCATTTAAATTTTAGTTTCTTTTTGGTCATTAGATAGTTGTAACTTTTTAGTTTTAACTAATTCATTCACAAAATGATTTTGATTGTACCTAATAATGTTTACCCTAAAAATATTTTATTACATGATAATTCTAATAATTACATGATAATTCTAATAATCACATGATAATTTTTGTGCATTATTAAAATTATGAAGCAAGGTAAAGCCATCAATAGTTTTCCAAAATTTCTCAGAAGTAAATTACTGATTCTGTCTTTGAAACTTTCTATCATTTATTTCATTTTAACCCTTTGAAGCCAACCAGCCACTCTACCAAGGGGGCCTGTATACTGCCCAGAGTCATGGACAGTAGGGGCCCAAGGTGGGAGATCTGTACACACCAGAGACCACAGTTCAAAGGGAAACTATTATCCATGCCATCAATAGAAATGAACAGAAAAGATGTTTGCTTAAACTCCAATTATTTGAATAAAGTTGCAAACTAGAATTTGTGGCAAATCAAAATGAAAATATAAACTCTTAGGTAATTTGTCTGAATTTCCAAGATGAGGAGTTATCATTATTTACATTATTTATATTCAGTCTATTATCCTGATCTTTCTTCTTGTTATCAAAGTACCTACAGGAAATTCTGATCAAAACCCTTTATATAATTTATGGAAGTAGTCAGTTCTCATTCCCCTGCCCATGTCTAATGATATTTTCTAGTTCTTATTTTTGTTTTTAAACACAGCTCAGTTATTGCTCACTCATTTCCACTAAGTTCAAGTAGACACTCACCGATCTAAGGACTGAACTCTTACACTTACTAGATCACGGAATTCACAAACCAAGCTATTGTCCTGTATTAAGTTCGTATTTGCAAAAATGAAAAGATAACTTATAAATATTTTCAATAATTTTGACAAGAATCAAACGCAAACTGATATCAGTATGCATTTTTAAAAATATTTTGTCAGAAAAGTATTCCCTTTGTTTATTGATTCTAATCTTGAAAATGGAAACATTTCTAGTATGTCTTTTTTTTCTTAAAAAACAGTTGGAAATGATCAACAAGTTGAAAGATTTGAAGATGACTTGTAGCACAAGCTGATTAAAAAAATAGCTTGTGTCTAAGAAAGTTCCACAAAAGTTTTGATGGCTGATACATCATTTGAACTGAAAATCATATTTTCTACTAACAAGAAGAACCAAGCTTTTCATACAGAGTTAAGAAATTTTTTTTTCCAATACAGTGAATGCCTGCCACAATGTCTCATCCAGTCTCTCTGACCATCTCTCTTCATAAATTCATGCTTTAGTGACCATTGACAGTTGCTGTATTTAGATGTAAGGAAGATAGATGCAATAATCAATGAAAGTTAGGAGAATGAGTGAAAGCCGTGTCGTCTAAATAAAGAACATAAAATATACACCCAGATTGGATGTGTCCCTCTGAGAATTATCACAAGACCTTTGTATTTGTCCTTTCATATACTGCTTGTTTTATTCTTATCTGCTATAATTTCTGTGTGGGACAAATTGTGATTATATATTTGTATATGACATTTTGTATGGCATATTAGAATAATCTAGTACTGTACATAAAATCTTTTCAGGTGCAATTCATTTTTGGAATTGATTTCATTGAGTTTTTCTGGGCTTTACTTCTGTTGTGTTAAGATAGTATATCAGCTATAATAATGCCTAATATGGGCCTTGGAGACTTTTAAAAAATATCCAAGTACCCTACATACATTATAATCTTCAAATACTATAATCAATGAACCTAAATGGTAATACAGAAGGTCCTTGGGTTACATCGGAATCAATATACAGCATTTCATGGTTACAACACCATCACCTATAATATAATATGCTGTCGTATGGTGCTATATGAGGAAAACGGCATTGTTTCTTTACTGGCTGTACACCATATTGGATTGTGCTACATTCACTTTATCTTGTTTGTGTTATTTTTGGGGGAACATTTTGCCTTTCATTATGTCTCCCAAGCATAAGGTAGACTTATAGGTGCTTATGTAGCTGAGTTTCAAACTATGTTGAAAATCAGGTTATGTTGTGCCATAGGAATAGATCTGTGATGTGTTGAAGACCCCCTATATAGTAATCCAAGAGTTAGAAGTGATGTCATCTGGTAATGTGTTATGAAATTTCAACATGCTAGTAACGTTTTTAGACAGGGAAAGTTGCCTCATACCAGATCTGCTTTTATATAAAAAACAGTCATAAATTATTTTTTTGTTCATTGCCAAAATGATTACAAGTATTACAAGAAAGTTTGTATTAGCAATCAATAACTTGATTATCCAAATAATTGAAAGGTTTTTTTTTTCAAAAAGAGAACAATGACATCAGGAAATCAGTGATGACCTTCATAATAATACATGATATAGATAAAATGGTAAACAGTAACATCAACTCTAATAATACCAATATTATTCAATATTGTGTATGATCAATAAAACTGATATTAATAATATTGTTGCTTTATTTATTAAACAATAAATGAAGCAAAATTAATAAAAAAATCAAATATAAATATAATATATAAAATAATTATAAATATATAAAAATAATTTGGATGAAAAAATAATATTGAAAATGTTTCATCTAAATACTTTTATTAAAAATAATATTAAGCTGAAATTTTTTCTGAATATTGATATTTTTTCTTCAAATATAATTCTGTAGAATATCACAAAATAATTGTGTTGTAATCTGAAGGCTAATATTGTAAGAATTTACCTTTGATGTAGAAGATGGATTACCATCTGCAAGAGAAGAACGTCTTGGTCCAGAGTCACTTGACCATTGTTGTCCATCTTGAGCATCAAGCAAATCCCCTAGACTTTTGACTTTCTGGCCAAGAGGTTGAGATGTAGGAATGCTGAAATTGTGAAACAAAAACTGACATTAAAAAATCTTTAAAACTTTCACATCTTTAAAAATTATTATCAATTGTCCATAGAAAAATTTTGCTTGTAAAATTTTATCCCCTTCTTAGTAGAAATGGGAGTCTCGGATATACAAAAACATATATAATTTGTCTAATTTTTGGTTAAATGTAATGACGAAGACCTCTATCCATATGTTTTTGAAGGTGCTAAATCCATTTTAGCACTTATGGGTTGATATCTGCTCATCTAGAGATAAAAAAACCCCTCTGTTTCATGGTATTTTTGCCTGATTTTAACCCTCAAAACTGGCTCCTGGGGTCCTTTAATTTCAATTTCACAATAAAAAGTGTACATTCAAGTATAACTTGGGAACCCCTAATTTGTTTTTATGGTGATTAAGTGCTCGTTGGAAGCATATGATGGAGTGGAATACAGAGAAATCAGTTTGATTAAGAAAAATCCAAAATTTTGGGAACCTGGGGGCCCACCCAACTCAGGGATATCAGGCTGAAATTCTGAAAAAACATTTGTAGGCATATCTTGATAAATAATAATGGTATGATGATGGTTGAGTGCTCATTTGAAGCATATGAGGAAGTGGAATACCAAAACATCAATTTTATTGAAAATACTCAAAATTGAAATAATCAAATGGTGAAATGATTTGGGAAAATCCTTCCCATGCATCATCCTCATCCTGTTCCGCTACTGACAGGAAAAGAAAGTAGAGAAAATTATGAAATTGTAGCAGATATCCAGCAAGAAAGAAAGGACAGCCAGAATTGATAACACTGAATTGAAGTCCAAAATTGACCAAATTATTCTCACCATCATTAACTCCATTAAGAAGGTAAAGGTTGCAGAGTACAAAGAATTTTGTCGTACCACATCCTTTTTGCTCAAATCAGTTCCATGGATAGAGATTAATCCCAGTGTTCACATTGTACTTGCTCACAGTCTTGAATTTATTGAAGAGAATAACAACAATGGAATGCTGAATTTTACAGAGTGTGGCATCAAGGCAAACAACAAATTTCTGAGGCAGTGTTGCATCAACTATGCAAGGAAAACTAGCCAGTTTGATAACCTAACAGATTGCATAAACAGACTCTGGGACAAAAGTGATCCCATGGTGTTGAAAGTAAGTGAACATTTACAGTGCTCCCATTGCAAAGCAAAAGGTCATTCAACAAGTTGTGAAGAGTTGAAGGATGCACTTCACAGATGTAATGATGAATACAAGTCATTGGTGTCCTTCTTGTCTTATTGATTTCATAAAGTGTCATATTTGTGATGTACTGAAAAAATTTTGTGTTCCCAAATATCTATTCCAGGATTCATATTCAGTGTATAAATACAATATCATTCTATATCTTACATGGTTTTATTAAAGATTTTGGCCAAATATTCCCAAATTAAGGTTTTGGATCAGGTATAGTTTTGAATATTTCAATCAAATTTGATTATGTTGCACTGAATCCCTCCTATGCTTCCAATAAGGTCCCAACCTTCATCTTACCATTATTATTATCAATATGTGACTAAAATTCAGTCCTATATCACCAAATGAGAGGTTTTTTTGGGTCCCAGACCTCCAAAACTTTGGGTATTTTCAATAAAACTGATCTTGGTATTTCACTTCATCATATGCTTCTAATGAGTACTCACCCATCATCATACCATTATTATTTATCAAGATATGACTACAAATGTGTTTTCAGGACTTCAACCTGATATCCCTGAGTTGGGGTTTTTAGGCCCCAGACCCCCAAAATTTTGGATTTTTCTTAATCAAATTGATTTCTCTGTATTCCACTCCCTCCTACACTTCCAACAAGCACTTAATCACCATAAACAGATGAGGGGTTCCCAAGTTATAGACAAATGTCCACTTGACCCCTAATATGAGCCCACTGTGCTAAAATTCAATAGGTTTTAATAATTCTAAATTGTAATATGTTAATAAATTATCTTTACCAAGATATTTATAAACATTTATATTTATTTTTTTTTATAATAGATTATTATTATTATTATTATTATCACGTTTGGGTGAAGTAATGGCAGCAGCTATCAATTCAAATGAGTGGAGTTCAAATTCCAGTGGACTTAGTTCAATGTAGACAATCTGTAGATGTTATTTTGTCAAAGTTTCAATCCGATTCTTTTTGCTTTGTCAAAAATTGTTTTTCCATTGATTTTCATTTATGTGTAAATACCTTTGGTAAAGGTATAAATTTATCTCTTCTTCCCTTAGTAGGACAGACTGGATTTTTCAATCTTGGTTTGTAACCAAGTCTATGTAAAGGACAACTCTGAATTCAAAACTGGTTGGGCATGTGGTTAGCAATCCTACCTGTAAAAGTCTACTTGCTACAGAAACCACAGTAATGTTGCAAACTGTGGCCTTATGCTCCACAGTGGAGTCTATGGGTCTTGAATGAGTGTGAGATGGATTTATTGTATTATTTATATTAAATTATTTATCATTAAAACATTTTCCAAATAAACAAAGTTCTTTTAATTTTTTTAAAATGTAAACCTTTTAGGGAAACATAGTATCAATAAAATTAGGTTACATTCATTTGGAGAATTTTGCAAATACTCCAGTTCAAAATCTTTACAAAGTTATACTGAATTATGAATTAATATTGTTAAGGTTTTCTGATATGCAGCATTGAACTTTGCTAATTGTGCTGCTATTTTCCTTTGCTCTTTGCTAATTGTGCTGCTATTTTCATTTGCTCTTTGCTAATTGTGCTGATATTTTCATTTGCTCTTTGCTAATTGTGCTGATATTTTCATTTGCTCTTTGCTAATTGTGCTGATATTTTCATTTGCTCCTAGGTGTTCCGTTACTTAAGAAAACACTGCTTCAAAATGTAAAACTTCATGTTCATTATGAATGATTACAAAATTAGTTCAGAATGGAATAAATCATTTGGTAAAACTTTCTGATGCTTCTATCTTCATTTGTCTATTCACATTTAACATGGAAAGTTCTAGTGAATGTAATATAGAATATTATTATCATTATTATATTGGAGTCTACTTCAGTTAAAACTGAAAATTACTTTGAAAATTTTATAAGAAATTTAAAAAGGAGGCCAGTATTGGTCAAGATCATAGAATCATTGTGAATTCTAAGATTCTTTTCTTAGGTGCAAACCAGGTGCTTCACCAGATCTACATACATGTGGATGTGCAGGTGGTATAATGGATAGCAGAGTAGAATTCATTACATTTATTTACATGCAAATACTATTGGGAAAGGTATGAATTTATCTCGTCCTCCTAGCTATGGGTTAAATAATAGAGTAAACCAGGTTCTTCAATCTTGGTTGGAAGCCAGTCTAGAAGGACAACTCTGAATACAAAAACGTATGCAGCATTGGCATGGTATATTATGTAGCTAAGGAAATGACCCTAAGATCATGACTAGTCAGTTTGTATGTAGTCCTGTGGAGAATTTTAATTTAATGTCTACCATATTTAATTGCAATTTTTGTAAAAATTCCAAAAGGATAGTTATGTAAACAAAACTAAATGGGGCACTGTACAGCAATTTAAAAAACATTAAAATATATTTTTATTTATTCATAAAGACTCAAAATAATGGGGATTTTTCTTTTTTAATTAAAAAGCCAAAAAGACTCCCCCCCATAAAACAAATCAGAATGTAACTCACTTTCGTAAACCTGATTCAATAGGAGCTGTGAAGGACAATGGAAACCAACCATATCTGTAATTAAAATGTTAAAAATTGCATTTATCACATTGTAAAATACATTTTAAAGCACCTTCCCACCAAAAAAAAACAAAACAAAACAAAAAAAAAACAAATGTAGATATTGCCAAGAGATCTCTTATTTGAAAATGATAAGAAAATGTTAACTTTTAATCATTAAGCTACTGAAATGATCAAATTGCAAATTTTCTGACTTTCTTCCCAGAATCTGGAAAGCAAGAAGTAGCATGGTATCTATTGTAGAACTTGAAGAGAACAGGGGATAGTTCAGAAGCACATCTTTTAGGAACTATTGCAGTGATATCATTGAGCTCACATCCTTTCGGGGGGGAGGGAGGAATCAAGTTTGGAGATGATAGCGGAAACTACAGATGGAGTTATATGCCTATCACAAATAGTTATAAGTTTAAATTTAGATAAAGGTACTCCTGAAGCTTTTTTTTTTTTTTTTTAAGATCTTGATAAAATCCAAAGAATAATTTGCAATGTTATGTCCTGACCTGGCATCTCAGCTTCAGTCACTTTCCCACCATCATAATGTTGCTATCCTATGTCTTTTCTATAAATACTTTCATCGTTATTGTCTGGATGAACTTTCCTCTAAGGCACATAGACTTTATGAATTTAAGCACAGTACTAGATTGGCAGCTAGGTCTCATCATTTTACAGTTGAAATGGCTAAATGTAAGTTCTATGATAATTTTTTGCTCTCACATTTCTTGTTTGTGGAATTCTTTTGGCTTCTTGCTTCCTTGTCAAATTTGACCTTCAAAAATTTAAATGCAATGACAATTGTCATCTTTTGTCTCTTTAATTCCTGTTCTTTTATATTTCTCCCCCATTAATAGTGATTTATTTCACACTTGTATTTTCTAACACTCAGTAACCCCCTTGTGTCTTAGCGACTTTATTGCCTTCCTTGGGGTGAAATGGTTAAAAAAATGTTACTGTCAGTAATTGATACACAAACAATTATTTTTCAGTTTGAGCACATGTCAAAATAACTTCTGAATATTTTTTAGTAAGTTTTTTTTACCCTTTTTTTGCATTTCCTAGGAGCAAATCTGAAAGATGCTCAAAATTGGACATTTTTGCAATGTCAAATATTATCTACTGTCTTCTTGATTTTTGTTTTTTTATTGTTCTCATTTTCTTATATTCTTTCACACTCAGTAACTCCCTGTGTCTCAGTTGCTTTGTGGACTTACCTGGGGTGAAATGATAAAAATTGAGATCAAAATTCGCTAATAATTATGTCAGACAACAGACTTCTTGATGTACCGACAAATACGCATATGCATACACACAAACACGTTTATGGACATTATGTAAGATTATATGATGCAAATCAATGTTTTCATAATAAAATTAGTATTGACAAATTCTTATGATATATTTATAGGAACAATAAATTTCAGTTACTAACATTTATCCTTATTTATCTATATTTGTGAGCTGAGGTATTGTAATTATTTACACTATTTACATTGTTCAAACATTTGTCTTCATCCTTGTTTTTATATTCATGATGTTTCAGCTGTTGCATGCTCTGGCCTCATTCAGAGTGAATGGAATTTCAAACTGAACCTGTTATTGGGGTAGACTGTTCTATTCCCACATGCCATGCCTCTTCCAAATGTCTCAGTATTAATTATCTCCTTATAACTCAACACTCCAAATTTATATGGCAACTGTTCAAACAATGTAAACAGTGTAAATAATATCTATCCTTATCTAAAAAAAAAAAAAAAAAAAAATACTTTCTTGTGGAGAGTGTCAAGTTTCATCAGGCAAACAAAGTATAACATAAATTATTCAATTTGAACAAATTCAAAAGATATAGACCATAAAAAAACATTGGATCAACACAATATTCTATGTACTTGAATAAATTGTTTTAAATATTAATAGGCTTACAGCCATATCACATATGTTGAATGCACCAGTTTTTGTATGATCACTGAAGTTAAGCAATAAAGCCTTGTCAGTACCTAGAAGGGTGAGCACTTGGGAATACCTGGTGCTGTAAATTTGGATGTATGGATGATGTAATTGATAATGACTAAATTCGAGAGCAGAGTTACATGCAAACACATTTAAATTCTTACAATTTTAAAAAATATTTTCTGGTTTTAAATAATTTTCAGAAATGATCCTGACCTGGCATCTCAGCTTCAGTCACTTTCCCATCACTGTAATATGGCTTTTCTGTGATTTTTCTATAAATACTTTCATGGTAATTGCTCTGATGAACTTTCCTCTATGGTACCTAGACTTTATGAATTTAAGTACAGAAATAGACTATTAGCAATGTCTAATCTTACCGTTGAAATGGTTAGATATAACCATAACTTCAATGTTAGTAGTTTCCTCTCTCACTTTTCATGCCTGTGAAACTCTTCTGGCTTCTTGCTTTACAATCAACTTTAATCTTCAAAAATTTATATACAATGTCAATCGTTTTCTTGTGTCTTCTTAATTCCTGTTTTTTTATTGTTCTCTCTTCTGAATGTTTTTTCTCCTAACTCATTGATTGATTGTTTTGTTTTCTATGGTTTATCAACCCTTTGCAGGTTATTTAAAGCCCCAAAATATTTTTAGATTATAAGAATTTTGGAGGAGATAATAATGGTTTAGTGATACAAGTCTTACTAATTAACTAGGTACTTCCACTATTTCGGCATAAATTTTTGATATCTAAAGTTCAAAATGAATTTTTAAAAATGAAAAAAAAAGAAAACATTCTTGAAGATTTCATTTTAGCTTTAATTGAAAGCTAATTGATTAAACTTATTATTTCCAGTAAGTAAAATATTCTGGTGTATTTCAGATAGAAATTATATAGATTGGAATGTCAAATTTAATTTCAATTTCTTAAAAGCAGCAATTTTCTTAATTTTAAGAAATTTGTGAACAAAACAAAATTTATCGATTTTAAATTTCTTCCCAATATATATATTTCTGACACATTTCAGTAAAATTAGAAAATTTAAAGTTAAATAAATCCATCCCAATACAAAGTTTTACATGATTATAAATTATGATAATTAAATTTTTTAAAAATCCTTGTAGAAATTCATTACTCATTGGAAAAATTTTATTTCTTCAGACAATAATGTCCTTACTATAACTTATTTACAAAAGCAATTAAAAACTTTTCTAATTAAATAATTAGATAGTTTTATTGTATTCATTATTTTTCAATTCAGAACAGATTTTCAGTTAGAATATTGCAAGTTTGAAAAAAAAAGATTAGGTGATTTAGATTCTCTAAGGAGTCCTACTTTTAATGAATAAAAAAAAAATCATTCATTTGTGAATAAGTCCTGAAAATTTCATTAAAATTGGACATTTGATTTTTACAAGAATTTCCAAATCAATGTATTTAAACGGAAAAAAGCGCAAAAAAAGTCAACACTATTATGCCACCCTGATGACGTAAAGAAAACAAAATTTTTCACTAAAATTTCAAACGTTTTTGAAAGGATTAAAAAATTTCAAAAAATAATTAAAAAATACTTTGGTCTTTCATCTTAATAATAAACATTTTGATGATAATACTTTATCTTTATTAAGTTTGTGGCCTTTTTCATTACGCTATGCTGTTTTTCTGTGAAAAAGTGGAGGTACCTATAATTAACCCATAGCTGGAGGGAGAGGAGGTGGATTCATAATATTCCCAAGGGTATTTGCACATAAGTGAATATAACAAACCCAATTGGAATTAAAACTACTCTCCAATTAACAATTCCAAAGTATTGTCCAGGCTGGACATTAACTTTGGTGACCATATGGGATGAGAACTGGTGTTTAAACATGATGTATCTCTACTTGATGTTGATCCCAACAGCCAATCGCAAACTATGGAACATTTTCAAGTTTGCCCCAATCTTGAAGATCCCTGCACACTTAATGTCCTTGAAACATTAACACCACAGGCAATGCTCCATGTGCATCACTGGATGGGTGTGGTGTAGTGACTTAATAATAATAAGACTCCTTGTATCTTAGTGACTTAATTACCTTGCTTGGGGTGAAATGATTAAAAAAAAAAAAAAAAAAAAAGTTGATAAAACACAAAAAAAACAAATCAATCAATCAATTTAAATATTAAAACAAACTCTTTGTTGTTTTATAACATTTGTCAAGTTTTTTTTATTCATTGATCATGTAAACTTTTCTACTATTTTGACTAACATCACATGCAGAAGTTTTTAATACTTCCAGACATGGTTTTCTATTCACATGACATCTCTTAATAATGAATGACAAGTTTTCTATTGGATTAATATCTAGAGAGGTTGGCAGTTATTCTATTTAATTTGGTGTATTTGAAATCTTTCTTTTAAAAAAGAGGGCAATAGTGATCTTTGCAGAAGGTGAAGGAGCATTGTCTTGCAGGAATATATTCTTTAGTTGCTATTGTTAATATTTCTAATAACAGATATTAGGAGTTAAAATTTACATTATATATTTAAAATATATTCTGAAATCTTTACCAAGATTGGCTGATTAATAATATCAGTTTTATTGTGAAAATATTGAATAGCATAATAAAATCTGATATGGTTTACATAAATTAAATTTAGTCATAACCTTTATCATTCTGTACATGACTTAATTTTATCCTGCCACTGAAGGTGACTGATACCTGAACAATAGTGTGTTTGAATTTCATAGTTGTGTTGTCATATCCTGCTATGGTAACAGAAAACAACTTTGAGTGTAATTAACAATAGGGATACTGCAATTGAGAAGCCTTGAAAAATAATGCAGTGGAAAGGGAATTAATATTAATAATGTAGAGTGCTAAAGGTTAAATAAAATGATTGTCTTGTAGTCTATAGAAAAAAAATAGTCACCTTCTGTCATTGGTGTTGTATCCATAGTGCCATCCATCAGATTTCTCTCCAATCAACACAATTACATCTCCTTCCTGGAAGCTCATTTGAGTTTCACTCTTTGCAGAATGTGGGTAGATGGCTTGCACATTGGCACTTGTACTTCTCATAGGTGAACTCATACGATAGGAGGACGGAGATGCTTCTATAGAGAAAGAAGATTAAAATCAATTGAAGATACATAAAAATTACACAATTATGTACACATTATTACACTTTATTATTTATCAGTATAGATATAGTCATCCAGTAATAATGGTAGAATTATTTTAAAAAAACAAATCAAAACAAAAAAAAGATGGGGGAAGAGGTGGATTCATGCCTTTCCAGAAGAGTGCATATATGGATATAAAAAAAACCCAACTGGAATTAGAACTGTTTTCTGATCAACAATTCCAAGCCATTATCCATTACACCACCTGCACATTCAACGTTATAGTACCTGGTATTCTCAAGCAGTCACCCATCTAGGTTTGATGCTGGTTAACTTTGATGATTGTACAGGAACTAAAGTTTCAACACTATATGGCTGTAAGTCCACCTGTTTGGTTATGATAAAATTGGACATAACATCTATAAACAGGACAGAATCAATATTTAAGTCAGTGTTAACTTTATATAGAAAAAAGATGACCAAGGTTAAGAATTCCAAATAATTTAAGTCATCAAATTGATCAGAAAATATTTTGCTGGGAAAATTGCCACAAATTTTAAAACCACTGTAAAGCTTTAGTATAAACAAAATGTAGGAAATTAATTCTGGTTTCTAGTTTATAAAATAGTGATTTGTATGTTGAAAAACTAACATACCACAGAAAAACTAAATTAATGATGAATAATGCAAAGTATTAAAACAAAATAAAAAAATATCTGAACTAATAAAAAAAAAATTAACATTTAGACTCTTACAAAAAGTAATGAGTTATTAGCAACAAATTGTCATTTTGTATTTGCTAGAATTTTTTCTACATGCATCAGCATGTTGAAATCCTCACAGTATTTAATACTGTTCAAGTTATCGCTAACATTTTTTGTTGAGGTTTACAAACTCGACTCTCTCTATTGCGTTTATATTTACAGTGCTACTACTACTGAGCATTATATTTTATTAGAATGAAATATATATAAAAACTTAAAGTAGTTATTTAACTGCAAAGTATGGTTTTTGTCAAAGTATTTTCCCAAACAAATCAGCTTATTCAAATTTCATCAATTGGTTTGCAAAATTGGATGAAATGTAGAGTTTGTAAATCTTGACAAAAAATGTTTGTGATAAATTCAACAATAATGGTGTGAGGATGTCAACATGTGTCAGTATGTTGCAAAAAAATTCTAGTTATATCAAAACCTTAGCAGTTACAAAATGAAATGGTAATAACTTTTATATTTGAATAGTGGTTTTTAAATTAGGATTCATTTAAAAATTTTGTTTGTTGCTTATGATAATGAATGTTTTTCCTCTATAAATACATCACTGAAGTCTTCAGTTATGTAATAATGTTGCTTAATATTTTGCTTTTATTTAGGAATGATTAAAAATGCATACAAAAAAATGACAAAAAAAAAAAAACATTTAAGACATGCATAAATAAATACATGCATAAATAAATTAAAATTAAATATTTAAAAGAGTTTTCTCTATTAATTCAATTCTCTTTATTTATTTTTATATTCAATATTTAATGTTTTTATTTATATTCTTTTTGTTATCTGAAAAAAACAATTTACTAACTGATTTCGACATTAAATAATCCCTTTAAAAAACTGACTAGTCAATTATTGATTTACAATAATAAGCAACAATCAAATTAATCTTTAAGATACATAATTTTAATAAAAATAACATTCAGTTATAAGAGTTATCTCCCTTTATTTTGAATATTTTTTTTAATTTGAGGCGGGGGGATGCATTATCATTTTGGTGCATTATCATCTTGGAATATGGCACTTCCTGGCAACAGTATGGTAGCCACTGTAAGAACATTGTCATTGAGAATGTCGAGATATTTATCTGCAGTAATTCTACCATTAAGAGTGATGAAAGGACCAGAAGAATACCAGGAAATTGCTGCCCAAATCATTACTAAGCCACCTCCATGTTTGACTTTTGGGACTATGAAATCCGGATCATAGGCTTCACATGGTGTTCTCCATACATAAACATGCCTGTTTGTAGGAAAAAACGTGAAAGAAGACTCATCAGTGTGAATAACATTTTTTCATTCCTTGAGTGTCCAATTTTTGTGACCATTACACCATTCTTTTGCAACTTGGCATTTGAATTTGTGATCAGAGGTTTAGGAATCACAGCCCTTCTGTGAATACCAGTCTTGTGGAGCTCCCAACGTACTGTTCATGTAGAAACTGTATTGGTTAGGTGAGTAATGAGTTCTGATATCACTTTGCTGTAGTAGTTTTGTTTTTTGCCACAATTCATTTTGCTTGTCAGTCTCTTTCCGTCCACTATTACTCTTTGCTGATGATGTTTCACCATGTTTTGTGTAACCGTCAACACTACAATTCATGCCACATTCAATAATTCAGGTGTTTTGGCCACAGATGCACCTGTTAATTGAGCACTAAGTATTTGTCCTCTTTGAAAATCTGACAGGTTATGAGTTTTAGTATATAACTCTTTTAAATAATGGCTTAAGTGGAAAAGCAAGGTAAAGGATTAAAGTGCTGAGCAGTTGCCTCTTTATGTTGGTTTGATGTTTACAAGTACCTGGAAATGCCAGAATTGAAAAAATTGCTATTTTTGCAAGCTGTTCACATTTTATCTAACCTGTGGGTGTTTCTCTCTCTCTCTCTATATATATATATATATATATAATTATTTATTTAAAAAATATGATTCATCGCTGCATAAGAGTTCTCATGTTTCTAAACAAGAGCCGAAAACTTCAATATAATTATTTGAATGAAAGTACCAAGCTCTGTTCCAACTTCAAGCAAAATTTTTTTTTTTTTTGGAATAAGTAATTCCTGAAATTTACACGTTTTATAAGCATATTCATTAGTAAAATTAAAATTACTATGGTAATGGCTAGAGCAATTATTAAGATAGAGAGTGATATGAGTAACTGAAGTCATAAAATTTAATAGGAATCTGTCTATGCATTTCCATTTCAATACTTTGCCTATATTAATGTAATTCTCAAGAACAAAGGAAATGTATAAATTCACTTTCATCATGTGTTTAAGTTTTATTACAATTCTAATCATCGCTTTTTACAACATTGCCAAGGGAGTGAAGGTAGTTAAAAACATGGTGTCAAGGGTAAAACCATCCCTTTGACAATGTATTTTTGTAAGCATGAAGATTCAAGATTCCCAAATTTTTAATCATCATTAGACCTATATCAACTTTAAGACACAATGCAAATCAGTGTGATTTCTCATCTGCAACAACTTTGTCAGTCATCTCTTAACCCCCTTGATTTGTGCTAACTCACAAACGTGCTTAAGGCTTCCCAAGCAAAAGATTCCATTATATGAAACAGTAAAAACATTAATTTTTAAGACATGAACTATACAAAATCCTCCTTAGAAGATGACATGACATTAGATATTCTACTAGATGTGTTCTTCAAGTAAGGTTTTCCATTAAGGAAACATTTTGTTGGAAATATGGAAGAATCTGCAATGTTATTGTTCCTGATCTGGCATCTCAGCTTCAATCTCTTTCCCACTGCTGTAACATAGCTCCCTGTGCTTTTTCTATAAATGTTTTTATGCTGATTTTTTGATGAGATTTTGTATTTGGCACCTCAGCTTCATGAATTTAAGTAGAATACTAGATTGGCAGTTAGGTCTCATCCTTTTATTGTTGAAATTGCTAAATGTAACTAGCTTTTATTTTAATAGTTTTTTTGCATGTACTTCCCATCTGTGGATCTCTCTTCCAGTTTTTTGTTTTTCTGTCAACTACGATCTTCAAAAATCATCATCTGTCTTTTAGAATCCTGTTCTTTTAATGCCCTTTCTAATCAATAACATTTACTTAGCTTCTTTCAGTCTCAGTAACCTGTTGTGTCTTAAGAGCTTTATTGCATTGTATGGGGTGAAAAAATAAATACAAAACATCCTACCTTTAGATAATGCAAGAGAGAATTGATTGCAAGATAATTGATAAGCAGTTATCAAAGAAAGTTGACAAAAGATGAGAGCTTATATTGTTTTCATATAAATAGAATTAATCAAGGATAACAATGGCTATAACAATACAATCCCTTTCTGACATATAAACGATAGAGCATATATAGTTACCATTCTGGAGACATTTTTACAACTCACTACAAAATAAAACAGACAATTGATATATGACTGGAATGATGAATTAAAGATACATTTTGGCAATCTTTGACTAACCTGAATGTCTGGTATAACGTAGCTGCATCTGATCAGGGAGTGACTTTGAATAACTTGAGTAGTGTTTATTTGGCATCATGTAAGTGGACCCTGGTCTTAGATGCCCATTTCCAATTGTATCTGTGTAATTTAAAAGATCAGCTCCCTGACAAAAATCAATAGAAAATAACTTGGAGACATGACTTAACTACAAAAAGCATATACAAAATGCATTAAGGAAAAGGATTTTAGATCCTGTAGTTTGTCATAAAACAAATAGAGAGAAGTGTAAAATGGAATGTAACAATGTATGAGGGGGTGCTGAAAAATTCTAAGCCCAGCTTGTTTCACAAAAATCTGACCAGTTAACCAAACATAATATTTTTTTGGTAAAGAGTTGAGAATTTCTCACCATCCCTTCATAAATGTTCTTCCATAAAATAAATAAATATATTTTCATAAGAAAATTTTAAAATTAAAATTTCTTTTGCAAAATTTCACTGGTTAAACTTTTAAAATTATATTGAGTCTGAAGAGGTAGGTGTTTTGTAGGTGTTTGTTTAGTGGCATAACAACTCTTTATGGGTCATTTAATGCTGAAATTTAATTTTATATTAATTAGTAATTTCTTTTACAAAAATGTATAGCTGGTAATTTTTTTTACTATATGAATGTATTGCTGGTATTGCCAAAATAAGTTGGAAAATTGTCAGATTTCAATTATTTTAATACCATTTCAAAATTGGTATTAAAATTAACTTGTAATAGTTAAAAAAACAAAAACAAAGAAAAGACAAAGTCACCTGAAACAAAGTTTAGTTTATCCCATTTTATTACTATTTTTATTATTATCACTGTCTGAATACATTGACAAAATCTTGTGAAATTATTTCCTCCTAAAATTTCACCTTTTTTGTTATTTACATGATGTAGACTATCATTTTCATCTTTGTTATTATCACATTTCAACTACAGTGCCTTCTGGCCTTCATCAGGTCCTTGCCAATCTGGGCAACCTTCAGGGAATTTTGAACTGAACCTTTTATTTAATCTACAGCTAGATCGCTTTTGTTCTGCTATTCATATTAGTTACTACAGAGTTATTGCTTGCTCTGTTTCAACTAAATCCAGGCTCAGGGATTGAAGTCACAATTCATGAACCAATGCCTTAATCCACAAAGTTATTGTTCGGTAGGATGATCCTGAGTGGAGAATTTGAAGCTTTAAACAATAATCTGTTGAGGAGTGCTGCTTGTCGTGCACTTAACACGGTTTCTCTTTTATACTGCAGCTGCTGAAGCCTTACTGTCTTTTCTTTATTAACAGCTCCCATATATTTATTTCTATGCTAGGTCCTCTAAGGAGGCATGGTGGAGTAATGGATAGTGGTTCAGATTGAGGAATTGGAGAGCCAAGTTCGAATTCCAGTCAAATCCATTACATTCACTTATGAACTAATACCCTTGGGAAAGGTATAAATCCTCTTCTACCCCAGCTATGGATAAATAGCAGGACAGCCTGGGTTCTATAGCCTTGGATGGCAACTAGTCTACTACAGAAAGAAATGGCAACTTACTGCAGGAAAAAATCTGCCTCGTCAGTCATGTATTGAAAGATACATGATTGCCTATGTGTGTATCACACATAGCATATAAGTGACTGAGGTCCTCTAAGGAATTTCTCATAGCCTAGCCTATGTGCTGATTCTTTGAATTCTCTCCATTGTTCTGTCTTTTTTGTTACACATAAATAATAAAGCAATGTTCACTAAACAATGATAACATTCTTTCACCACATTATCAATTTTACAATTATTGCTTTTTAGCATTCATTTTATTGTTTTCAATGCTGTCTAAAATCTAATTATCATTTCTAATAATTTTAACAATATAATCACTTAACAACCATTGTCATTAATACTGCATTGTCAACACTTTTACAACTGCTCATCTGTTATTAAAATATTTAATGATTCCAAAATACTAAATTGCAATTAAAAGCTAATATTACTTTTAAGATAAAATATGATTGCCAGTGTAAATAGTTATATTTGTATGAAGTTTGTTTATAATATTAAAGTTATCATTTAGATGTATCCAGCAGATTATTTTTTTTACTTAAATGAAAAGTTTGAGCAAATGATAATTAATACGAGGGATCATTGAAAACTTTATAGGCTGACTATGAAGGAATTATGTTAGAGCTGTGAAATCTTGCATGCATTAATTTCAACTTTTATTAATAACTGTATCATTTTTTTTACCAGGTAAACTGACACTTGACTGTTCAAAGAAGACTTTAAAAAGTAACTAGTAGTAACTTCTCTTGAAAATGGACAAAATTTGGCACCATGGTGTCATCAAGTACCTGCAGAAAAAAGGGTTTAGCTCCCAAGAACATTCATACTGACATGGTTGCTACTTTAGGTGATGACTCTCCAGCTTTATCAATAGTGCAAAAGTGGGCAGCTGAATTTAGGAGGGGAAAGGAAAATCTTGAAGATGGATCATCTTCAAGACACTTTCTTCCTCTCCTAAATGTTTGGACATTCTAAAACTGTCACAACCAAGGAAAACAGTGATCGTATTTACCACATGGTGATGGATGACAGGCCATTGACTATAAATCATGCTATTAGCTTATCCTGTGAGTGAATAGAGAATATTTTGCACAATGAACTTTGCATGATGAAGGTTTCTGCTTGATGAGTTGCACATCTTTTGACACCTGATCAAAAACACACAAGGCTGATCACATCACAGGAAAATCTGACATTGTTTGAGGCAGATCCAGCTGGTTTCCTTGAATGTTTCCTAACCCAGGATAAGTGTTGGGTTTATTACTTTGAGCTAGAGACAAAGACAAAATCCAGGCAAAGAAAAAACCCTTCCTCACCTGCTCCAAAGATGGCCATGGTTGTTTTCATCAGCAAGATATTTGGGATACAAAAAGAACTGTTTATTATCTTCAAAAGGGCTACACCATTAATGGAGAGTACTATGCCAATTTGCTGAGGCATTTACAAAAGCCTTATCAAAATCAAATGTGCTGAAAAAGCTGACAAAAGGGGTCAGGACAATGCTTTAGCATACAAGTCCTTGGTTTCAATGGCTGCTGTGCTTGACTGTGGCTTTGAACTGGCTGATCAACCTCCCTATTTGCCTGATTTGGCCCCCATCTGATTATTATCTGTTCCCAAACATGAAAAAACACTTAGCTGGGAACCAGTTTCATAGTGATGACATATCTGTTATTGATGACATTTTTGATCAACAAGATGAAAGCTTTGTCACCGATGGGATCCAAGCACGGTAACACTGATGGAAAAAGTGAGTGAATTTTTCAGCTGACCCTCATGAATAATACAAGCTATATATTGATCTAGTTATACTAGTGACCTTTGTTTTGTTGTTATAATCACAATGTTTCTGCCATTGTACTCTCTAATTTCTGAGATGAAGAATGATAATTATTATATACTGATTTAGTCAAGCTAATGTCTTCATCTTAGTATAATCAAAAGTTTAAGTGTCAGTTGTATTTAGGGAATCTTGGGAATTTTGAACAAAACTTGTATTCAATTAATTGAAGTAAACTGTTCTCATTCAAAGAAGATATCTTGTCTTAATTCTGGGATGCTGCTTTTGCTTTTGTCATTGAAACAGAGTTTATTACATTCACTGCCTGATCCAAGGATTGAACTTCTGAACAAGATATCAAGATACAATTAACCAAGATTTTATTGTCCTGTAGAACAATCAAATATTAGAACATCTGTTCTTTTCTAAACAGTTCGATTACAAAAAGTAAAGGGTACAATGATTGAAATGCTACTATAACAACTAAGATGAGGACACTAGTCATTTATGTCAGGCACATTGCTTCTGAGTATGCCTGTCTGCTAAGTTTGTGAGCTAATCCTTGTTGCAGATGCCTGCCCAGGTACATTTGTGTTTCTTCAACACCCCACAGAGCCAACCTTTGATTGCAATTATACTGAGTGGGCTTTAGTTACACTTTCTTAGAGAGAACATAATCTAGCATGATAATCAGTTTGATTAAAGCCTGTATGCTTAAACTCTCAGTCATGATGACTTGTAACTTCAGGCTAGTACAACCATTGATAGCTTCCAAACAGTTTTGTCTACCCAATTTCACTAACAAGTCTTAGGTCAACACATATGTATGGTTTTTAGACATTTACCAATAGTGCTCCATGCAGGGACCACCTCCCCAGACCAATATTATCAGGAAGTTATCTACTTGGTGAGATTTGAACCTGGATCTCATGGTTGAAATGCCAACTTTCTAAGCACTGACCATACACCCAAGTAGATCAATGTATAATAAAAGATAGTTCATCATCCCAGAAAGTTAAAAAGCAATAAAAGTATTTGACTGATTTGTTTTCTATGACTTAACCTTTTGCATGTTATTTAAAGTGAAAAAATAATTTAAATTAGAAAAATATATTTTTTTGAGATGATTTAGTGATGCAAGTTTTAATAATTAACTCATAGCTGGGGGGAGAAGAGGCGGATTCATACTTTTCTCATGGGTATTTGCATGTAAGTGAATATAACAAACCTAACTGAAATTAGAACTTGGCTCTCCAGTTAACAATTCCAAGCCATTATTACACCATCTGGACATCCAGCCTTGCAGCACATGGTATTCCCAAGCAGTCATCCATCTAGATAATGAACATGCTTGCTGTTGCTTAACTTTAGTGATTGTAATGGAACCAGTGTTTCAATGTGATGTGGCTGTAATTTTTTTTTTTTTTTTTTAAACAAGTTCACCCCAAGGAAGTCAGTAAAGCTACAGTAACCCACAAGGGGTTATGGTGTGTGGAAGAATTAGAAAATAGAAACAAGAACAAGAAAAGAAACTGTTAGCATAAGATTTACAGTTACATCTAACCATTTCAACTGTAAATCGATGAGACATTGTTGCCAGTTTAGTACTGTGCTTAAATTCATAAAGTTTAGGTACCATAGTAAAGAGTTCATCCAAATAATTACCACAGAAGTATTTATAGGCACAGGAAGGCAACTTTACTGCAATGGGAAAGTGGCAGAAGCTGAGATACCAGATCAGGACCAATTATATTGCTGATTCTTCTGTGGATTTTATCAAAGATCTCTAGATATATAGCAGAAGCACCAGGGACAAATGATAGACTTATAAATATGCAAGATAGATTCTGGAGAGAAAAATTGTCCAATATGTCACAGTGTAGCAACTTTCTTAACTGCTGACCTAGGAATGGATTCAGTATAATCTTTCCATTTCATGTCAGTCAAGAACGTTGTTTGAAAGTTATTTGATTTTAAGGGATTATATGATAATGTTAAAATGTAAAAAGAGCTTCAACTTACAGTAGCAACAACATGAAACATTTGAGAAGAGGAACCTGGTAGCATATCAGATGATGAACAAAGTTGCTTCCATACATCAATGTGTTCTTCTATCATGCCATGTGTCTGAAACAAACATATCAGGTACACTCTTAATAATAATAGAAAAAAATTAATTATAAAACTGATTAAAAAGATGTCCAACAACCAAATGTAACTTTTTTTTCCCCTAATCCTGTAGAATTTATTAAACAAATAAATGAAAATTTCTTTTCATTTTGATTATTACAAAAATAATAAAGCAAATTCTGGTGTTGAGGAATAAAAGTGAAAGTTATTTTAATGATGACTGCATTTGAACAGCATTTTTGGCATTACTTATCAGTGATTAATCCACTACACTTCTTTTGATAATTCAGACATTTAGAGCAGAAAGGACAAAGAATAATAAAATTTATAGTTTAAGCACCAAATTTAGAGATTTTTTTTTTTATCTTAAATTTATTTGAACATTTTCAACATTTAATCTATGTTGTGCATTCAACAAGTAGGATCCTAATTATAGGTACAATTTGTTTTATTTAAAGATGATAATTACATTTTTAATCATAAAACTTTTTGACAATATTTGATCATTTTACTGACACTATTACATGAAAACAATTCTTAAATGATATTTTCACAAATGTTTGATAATAAATGTTGTGTAAAGAAATAAATAGAAAAAAAAATATAAAAATTGAGCTTTATTAAATTTCATATTCTTAAAGGAGTGCATATGTGTTTAATCTTTATACAGAAAATGCAAAATATTTTGCAAGTAATTAGAATAAAAATATCCATATTTGTTCCTAATATTTTTTTTAAATCGAAAAGTCATTTTGGAATAATTTAAAGATATTTTAATTTAAACATTATTTATAGCTTTTCCAATCATGAACAGATTTCAAGCTAATGAAACTTAACATTAAACTTACCATTAACCTTTAGCACTCTGCATTATTAATATTACTTCTCTTTTCACTGCTTTCTTTTTCAAGGTCTCTCAATTGCAGTATCCTTATTGTCAATTTCACTCAAAGTTGTTTTCTGTTGCCATAGCAGGATATGACAACACAACTATGAAATTCAAATTCAGGGATCAGAGTCACCTTCAGTGGCAGGATAAACTTTTTGCACAGCAAATAAAGTCACATACAGAGTGATAAAGGTGAATTTAAACATTAAATTTAAAGATTGGAAAGTCATTTTGGAATTCAGGACATTCTACATTAAGCCTGGTTAAGACTAGAAATTCATTTATCTATTAGTTTATTTTATTTATTTTATTTTTTTTTAACTAAAAGTGACTGTCAAGAATTTTGAGAAAAATCATTAACATGCTAAAATTTGTTTTGACAACTGAACTCATTCTTCATGTTGCTGAAATTCTTACCACAATGTTTTGGCTAATTCATTCTACGGCCTTCTTCATATACATTAGATTATCTGTTGTATATACAAACAATTTTTCTTCATGTACTTAATCTAAGATTATGCATTAACATGCTAAAGTAAAGAAAAGTGGTATTAAATGTGCCATCATACCAAACCCATATCAGTTGTCCACTGACAAGTCAGTGTGAATACCAATTAGTCTGCTCTTGGCAAGGTGACATAAATTATTGCAGTTTGAACAGGGTATGATAGTGGGTGCAAGACAGATAAGACATGACATTTCTGAAATTCTGGAATCATTTGTACTGGGAATATTTGATTAAAGGAATTATTACTCACTGTGGATTGTACAGTATTCCACTACATGTCCTTAGTGATCATTACCTGAGGAATGTGGCTAGAATTATTTGCAGTAACAGACACATGACATTTGCTCAAACCACATCCAATTCATACCAGACAAATATCTGGCAGGTCAGTTCAGTATTCTTTATATGCAACTGAAGGTTGCTCCTGTTATTATCATGACATTGGACACAATGCATCACCTGGTATCATGAAATTCCTTATTGAATGCTGGTGGACTGGTAACATGTGTAGTCCATTGGGTCATGACTCCTGTTGGTTGTGGTTAATGGTATGGTTTGGGTGTGGTGAAAACTCCATGAAAGCATGGATACCATGGATACAACAAATGCATCATAAAGACTGGTGATGGTTCACCTAAATACTTCATTGACTGGTGAATGTTGCCCTGCTGAGGGACCATTTGTACACTATGTACCCCGAACAATATGTTATTCCAGCATGATAATGCAACATGTCATTGGTTGCCAAAATTGCCTAGAATTAGTTTGAGGAGCGTGCTGGAGACTTTCAATGAATGGTCACCATGTTTGTTCAACAGTGGTCTAATTGAGTATTCTATGAGATGTGGTGGGAAGATTTATTTGTATCTAAGATTCTGCATCTATAAATATCAGAAATGCTAACAGCCATGAGAACAGCATGGCTCAACACCTTTCCAGATGTCTTTTGACTACTACTTGTAGAATTTATGCAATGTCAAAAGTTGCTGCATTTCAAAGGCTAGAGGGTTTTCTACATAATACTAATGACATTGGCATAATGTGTACTCATTAAGAGGGCTGTAGAATGGATCAGTAGTAATTCTAGTAACACAAAATTCACTTGTTTGAACAAAATTTAAAATAGTGATTAACATTTCTATTTTACCAAGCTCAATATGAAATAATACCTAAAATCTTTTTAGGAAAAAAATACCTTTATATCTACTTTGCAATGTTACTTTCAAATTAGTCTACTTGGGTATTTGATCTGACAAAATTCCTTTGGTTAGCTCCTCATAAGGGTTCCAGACTAACTTTTGCATCTCTGTCCCCAAATTGTTATCATTTATAATTGTTAGATACATAATAAAACACTATTTAAATGTCTAGGAAATAAATTAAAAAAAAAAAAAAATTATAGATTTAAAAATGAATAAATATTGGATCATTGCAAAAGATTGTGTCCTATTTTTATTGTTTTTAATAATTTTCTAACTGTTATAACTTGCTCTTAGCAGTTATAATATTATGTCTCACTTTGGCTATTCATCATGACGTCATTTGAAATCCTTCTTGACTGACTCAAACAGACTCCCTCTGATTCACTTGGAGTTCTTTATTTAAGGCATCTTGCCTAGTTCATTTGTGTTACCGGGTATGTCTTATTTACTCCATAGCATACCCACTTTCACTAGTAAATTTCTTATTTTATTTCTTAGTATTCATCCCTCCTCCTCCTCTTTCTGGCAAGTTTGTCACAGACTGAACTATGTATTTCTTTCGTTTTGGGTCAACCTCTAGTTTTTCTGTACACTTCCTTTTCCTGGTAATCATACTTGTACGTTCAACAAATTTCTGAGGTGTTGGTACATCCAAAATATCATATAGTACTTACATAGCTTCTTCATTTCCTGTGGGTCTTTCTTCAGTAAACCTTTTCTTTAATTGATTCCAATGCCTTTTGTGTTCCCACTGTTTTCCTTTTACCATATATATATCATTTTTCCAATTTGTGACCTTATTACACTGTCTTCCCACATTTCTTTTACAGTTTTATATATTCTGTAAAACACTTTTTTGCCAATTTCAAAAAGTTTTGTGTCCTTTTTGTTATCTCCTTACATTCAAGCCAGCAATCTGCCACTGAGTAGTATGCCACTAGCATTTACTGTTGGTGGCTCATTGTCAGACCACCGGTGTGTTGTTCTTAACAATGTTACCACTGGCAGACCACTAGAGGCCCACCAGTGAATGCCACCAGAGGACCACTGGTGTGGTTGCCAGTGGGCCACTAGCAGCTTGTGTGTAGGGACATTCTTATCTTTTTTGATCTGGTAACAACTTGTCAAAAACTGATTTAATTTTTCTTGTGAACATCAAATCTGCTGGTGACATGTATTGGGATTTGGAATTATCTGGAAAACTCTCAAGAACTTTTGCAGTGCTTCTTTGCTCACTTTTTTATTATTTGCTTTTTTCAAAGCTCTCTGAAAAGTACCCACAAAACATTTAGCTTCTTCATTTGAGATTGGGTGACATGGCGAGATAGTAATATGTTCACTTGAGAACATTTTACAAAATTCTTTAAATTCAGTGAATTGTGTACCATTATCCAAGACTATGGCATCTGGAATGCAATATCTTGCAAACAGTTCAGGTAAATACTTCACTGTAACTGTAAGTTGGTTTTTTGTACTTACAAATTTCAAGCAACTTAGTAAAACTATCCACCACCACAAGATAATGTGATCCATTTATTGGACCTGTGAAATCTATGTACAGTCTTGACCATGGAGTTTCTGTCTTTGGCAAAGATAGTAATTTCATATAAGATGATTTTGCTGCCAAAGCACAACCTCTGCAGGCTTTTATTAATTTTTCAATGTCATGATCCATTTTGGTCCAGTATACATAGATTCCCATAAGAGATTTCATCCTTGAAATTCCTGGATGTCCACTATGAAATTCATTTTAATATCCATTTTCATATGATAGATTGTCTGTCTGTAATCAAAAACTCCTTCCATGTATAAATTTATGAAATCCTTTCATTGCAAATATTATTGCTAGAGCCTCTTTTTTTTGATCTGGTTGTAGTTTTTGTCTGCTGTTAGTAGTGAATGCAAAGCATGTGCAACAGCTTTCATGATTCAGTCAACATATTTATGTAAAAGTACTGCTCCTATACTATAGTCACTAGCATCTGAAGCCAATATAATTTCTGCTTTTGGATCGTAGTGTACTAATGATAAGTCTGACATTAGTATTTTCTTGATTTCTTCAAACACCTTCTGATACTTATTATGCCAGTTCCACTTTATGCCCTTTTTAAGCAAATTCTTCAGTGGAGCTCTCAAATTCTGCATATTAGGTATATAGATTTGATAATAGTTTACTAGTCCTAGAAATGCTTGTAGCCTAGTAACGTTTGTTGGAGGAGGCATATTCTTAATTGCACTTGCCGGATCTGGTCAGCAACCATTTTTGTCAGTGATTTGCCCTAGGTACTCAATTTTAGGCAAAAACAATTTGCACTTTTCCTCACCTGTATTGTCATATTTTTTCAAAAACTCATTTCACATACTCGTTATGTTCTTTCTTAGATAAACTTTTAATTAA